AATGTGATGATTAGTACTTGAGATATCAGTGGAAAAACCGAAAATTGACGAATCATTATGCAAATTAGGTAATTAGTATCCACGGATTATTACCAAAAACTAATCAAAACCTAGCATTAGTTCAGAGCATGTATGTACAAAGTTTCATCAAAATCCAATGAGTGGTTGTTTAGATATCAGTGGAACAATCACGGAACAGCTAAAAATCAGCTAATTATCATGCAAATTAGGTAATTAATATGCACGGATTTTCACCAAAACCTAATCAAATCTGCGCATTGGCCCAGAGCATCTATGCACCAAGTTTCATCAAAAACCGATGTATGGTTCTTGAGATATCAGTGGAACAGACGGACACACATACACACACCCACACCGCACGCGCACACACACACGTGCACACACACACTGCAAAGACTCCCATTATGTGCTTCGCACATGGGAGTCAAAAATCTTTGTACTAAGCAAAGGTTTCCTCAATCCCATGATTTTCTCAATCGCGCGATTTTCTTAATGCCTTCATGCTAATGTATCTTTTGAATAATAATTAACACTGTTGTAAATATGCATAATTTTTCAATATCAATAATTACAATATAATCTTTTACAAATGGAAAAATGATAGTTCCTATTATAAAAAAACAAGTTATGACGAGTAAAGACAACTACAGATCTATTGCCATCACTTCAATATTTCTAAGGTTATTGGAGCACGTTATTCTTAAAAAAAATGAAAAGCTGAATACTACAGATGATTAGTTTAGTTTCAAGAAAAACATTCTACTGATTTCTGCATTTGTATTCTTAAAGAGATTATTCAAAGGTATAAAATACTTGGTAGTAGTGTGTTGATAGTCAACTGCTTGACCCTATTTCATAAGCAAGGTCGCAAGGTTCCTGTATCCATCGTTCTTCTCTTGTTAATTGGTATCGCAATCAAAGTGATTGTATTAAATTGGCCAGGTCGCGTTTTCCCCAATTAACCAATGGTGTTCGTCAGGGTGGAACTATGTAGCCAATGCTCTTCAATATTTATATGTACGATCTGAGCCTGGTTACATGGGTAGAAACGTTAACCTCAGCTATGCTGATGACATGTGTGTTTGCGCCCTCTATCAAAGGCTTGCGTAAAGTAGTCTATACCTGTGAGAATTATGCTGAGGAACATGACGGTACTAACAAATTTATGCATTTTCTTAGTCGCCACTCATCGAGAAATTGTCCTCTGGTGTATTTGTTTTTTAAATTGCCCATTTTCTTTCCATTATTGCTCACAGTTGTGATGTACTAGTATTTAAAAAAAGTCTTCATTAACGCCCTCACTGTCTGCTATAACAATGCTATTCGAAATTATTCGGCTATAGGTTTGACTGCAGTGCATGGCCTATGTTTGTTAGCACTTTGTGTTTGCTCAGATCAATTTTTTATAAGTTTACCGAATGTGTGCGTACGTCTATGAACACTTCAGTAGTGTTACTGTGCACTGTAAAAGGGTTAATTATTCACTGAGTTTTAATTTTGCTTATTTCGCTGACTGGAAAATGCGCTTAATTAAAACCCTGTGAATATGTAAAAATTGGATTAGAACACATTATCTAAATGATAAAACCGTGAATTTATAACCCACTGAATATGCCTGAAATGCTAAATCAGTGAAATTTAAACCCAGTTAAAATTAATCATTTATGAACAAGTTACACAGAGATAAAAGAGCTTAAATAAGTTAAATCAATCTTGAAATTAGGACATATGTGGATTTGTATGAAATAATCACTAAATAAAAGACTTTAGAAAAACTGTAAATTTTATTTAACTTGCATGTTATATTTTGTGCAGCATGTTTTATAATAATGTAAAATATTTGATAAATATCGATAATTGTCTGTCATTAATTAATACCGACAAAACAATTGGCAATTACACATGTGAAATATACACGAAATACCACAATTTGGTACTGATTGGCCATTTGAAAATGGTACCTTTCACAACTTGAAGCAAGTTAGCTTACAACCAATGCATGGTTAACCTTTGAAAATTGGCCAAGTTAAGATTGGTTCACAATCTACACACATACAATGCAAAGATACAATCTTCCATCATATTTATATTTCCATATTTTTCGTGATATTCAAACTGTCAAATTTCTATCATTACTGTTTGAAAAGGCAATTTGCAAAATTTTAACAGAGAAAAAGAAGATGGTGATCAACTATTTTCCTTGGCTGTTATTATGCATTTACAATATTCAATTTACAAATGTTGCAAGTGTAATGATAACAATAATTTACGTAAATTTTTAGAATTATGACAGAACGTGGTGAACCCCAAACCAATAATTTTATAAATAATCTATACAACGTTGTCAATGGTTTAATTTCCACAGCCAGGAATTATTGAGATTTGATATTCAAAGACATTTTCGATGATAACATTTCACAAAAGCATCTGACAATTACAATATTTGAAAATTTACCACAGACGCATGAAAATAAATCAGTTCAGAGCATGTCATATTAATAAACAAGTATATTGTAGGGAATTTATTCTGTGATGGATAGTAAATTATAAATAAATATGGGATTGACAGACTGACTTTCACATGCTAATATTTCTTAAATTTATACAAGCACAGAAGTGGAACTGCGAGGGCATCCCAGGTAACCATCATTTTGGTGAGCAGACAGATCCCAAAATGACTGACAGAAAAAATTAACGCCCAAAACCCATTCAGTTTTTTCTTTTTTATGAAAAGATAACAGCTTTTCAGAATTGTCGCCGTCAATCAGAATTTTTTTTTTTTTAATTCTCCCCCGTATGCATACTTATTACACATACAGTGTAGGCAATTTAAATCAATTGAAAATTTATTTTTTAAGATCTAGCTAATCGCTCCACCACTTTCCGGTAATCTACTAAAAGTTCTTGAAACATTTTTTCTAGGTTGTTGTGTCTTTCTTGCAAGCTTTGTCCGGCCATTGTCGCTGCCAACTCTTCAGGTTTCAAAGCTTTTTTCATTTTTTCCATGTCAGATTTTTCTCTCTGGGAAACAAACAAAATATATTTATTCATTCATTCATTCACTCAGTCAGAGATTTCACATCAGTCTCAATACAACATTCAAAGCGTTTTTATTGTATTTGAGTTTAAAGAAAAGTTCAGAGCTGCCACAAAAAAAATTAAATTTCTACATCTGCTATTCCATCAATATCATACATGAACATATATTACCAACTGACACTGTTTCTTCCCATTCATTTTAGCTATCAGTGAAGACTCACTATATGCGTTATACATAATCAAATCAATGGACTGTAAAATCTGTTTAATTTCATTATTTTGATGTCTTGAGCATTTTCACTGTATTTTAATTTCACAAATTTGTTAGTGAATAACAAGTTTTACCGTACTCGACCGCGTTAGCGCCCAGGGGCCTCAACTCAGAAAATCACGATTTTGTAGTGGTGGGCGCTTACCCGAGCACCCCCCTCAAAAAAGAGTGCAAATGAAAATTTTGATTCATCAAGTGACAGATTACGTCTTTGAGGGAAAATCAAATTACTAAATTAGTTGCATCGTCATTGATTTTTACAATGAAGAAACAGAAATGATCACAAAAAATACGCACATTTTATTACAATATTACCGTAAAATCTGTATTAGAAGCCGCATCCCTAATAGAAGTCGCACCCATTCTTTTTAAACAATTGAGAATCAAAAATCATTTCTCATATGTGTAGATGCTCTAATAGAAGCCGCATCCCCTCTGTTGGATTGTACCATTTTAATAGAAGCCGCGGTTTCTAATACAGATTTTACAGTAATTACGTACCACCATAATTTACGGAATAAAAAACATTTGAGTCTGTTGGAACAGTCGAAGTCAAAATTGTCATATTATTTCCACTGATGAGTT